ATCTGGCCCCGGGTGCCGGGACTCACCTGGCCGGGCCCCCCCCGTGCCGGGGGCTGGCCCCGGGGGCCGGGACCCCCCTGGCCCCCCCCCCCCCGGGGGGGGGGGGGGGGGGGGGCAGAGCCCATCGGCCTTTACACCAATCTGCCCCTTGCTGCGGTCACAGACGCTTCCAGCCTAGCGCTTTGGCAGCACTTTGTGTGAGTGGGGCCGGTTACAGCAGGGGGTGGGGGCCGGGCGGGGGCCTTGCTGCTGGGGCCTGGGTTGGGACTCTGGAGATCTCACTTTGAGTCCCAGCTCCTCCACAGACTCCCTACACGACCCTGGGCCAGTCCCACCCCAGCTCTGTGCCTCAGTTTCCCCCCCCCCCTTTGTCTATTGAGACTGAGAGGTTTATAGGGCAGGGACAATTCTCACGGGGTGTCAGTGCAGCGCCCGGCCCAGCTCAGGGTCTGGGCAGCGCCCAGCCCATGGGGGCCCCGATCCCAGTCAGGATCTGTGCATCTGGCACAATGGGGGAGCCCCCAATTTTTGTGGGGCTCCTTAGTGCTACTGGGGTGTAACTAATACATTGCAGATCTGCCCAGGAACGGGAACTGCTGGAAAAGTCTCCAGCGCCCTGGTCCTGGAGCCGACAGCACCTCCTGCAGGCCGCAGAGGGACACGGCTGCCCTCATGTGGCCTTGCGCCGACCCCATCTGCTTTGCACAAATGTGGCCAAACCTGCTTTCTGGGCCTGCCCGGCCCTGCAAGCCCGGCCCCTGCTGAGCGGGCCCCAGCTGGGCTTGGGCTAGTCCATCGTAGGTTAGCCAGGGCCCTCGGCTCACGTCAGCTGCCTCCAGGGTGCATGAAATGACTCAGCCCCCAGGCCCAACCCAGAGGTGGCTGCATTTCAGCCCTGGGCGAGGGCTCCCTGCACCCCACCCCGAGGCAGCTGCGTTCCAGCAGCCAGCGAAGCCATCCAGCCAGGCTGCTGTAAGATGCGTTGAGGGGCGAACAACGCTAGAGAAAACTCTATTAGCCTGTCCCACGGCTCCAACCCCAGGAGCCAGGCCTCGTTCCCGCGGTAACGGTCTCCACGCTCCTCCCGCCCCTGGCAACCACAAACACAACCCAGGGACACACACACAGGGTGAAGCGAGGCACACGGGCACTACCGGACTAGCTCGCTGGCCCCGGGGAAGAGATCCACGCTCCTGGGGCCAACCCGTCCCCTCCCAGCCCAGGCATGTTTAATCATCCACACTCAATTATTCTGCGGTTTAAAAGAGCTCTCCCCTCCCCTGGCCGCTCGCAGCTGTGACGAACTGGGTCTGTTCTTACTGTGGTCTGTGAATGCTGACAGGGGAGTGTGGCTGGGATAGTCGGCATTGGGGGATGGGAGACTGACTGGAAATACCTGAGCCTGTAACATGAGAACCCAGGAGGGGGCTGGGACCAGGTGACACCTTTGCCCAGAGACTGAACAAAGGCTGTGGGTGGGGTCGCTGAAGGCAGAGTGGGAGAAGCTGGCTAGTGACTAGGGCTTGGGGCAGACAGGGCTCTGATCCCCTAAGGGGGCTAGGGTGCCTGGGGACCCCAAGATGGACATAACTGAGGGGGTCCTGTTGTCTGTGCCTGCAAGACCTGTCTTGGACTGTATTCCTGTCGTCTAAATAAACCTTCTACTTTACTGGCTGGCTGAGAGTCATGGTGAATCGCAGGACGCCGGGGGTGCAGGGCCCTGAGTCCCCCCATACTCCGTGACAACAGCTTCCCCCAGGCGCGGGTTAGAAAGAACAGGCCGGAGACGGTAGCTTTCGGGACGTTCCGACCCGTCCTCGGCAGCGAGTGGCGGGGGCAGCTCGTTTATTTCACATTCCATTCATAGCACCCCAAAAACAGTGGGTGTGAAACAGCGGTTTCAGCCTCGACAGGGAGAGGCTGGCCGGCCACCTGGGGGGACTGAAAGCTAGGGGGGAAATCTACACCCAGGGGCCAGGCCTGCTTCATTCCCCAGACCCTGCCTGGTTACCCATCACCCCGCTCAGTTCAGGCTACAGCTGAACAGCTCAAGATTGAAACAAATGAGGTCGGACCCCCGAGCTTGACCAGCCAGCCGAAGCACCTTCCCCTAAGGCTGCTGGGAAATTTAGGGAACCCCCCCCCCGCCCCATTCTGTTAAATCAACAGCATGGGGGCCTTGAGGGCTGGTCTATGCTGACAATTTACATGGCCACACCTACATCTCGCAGGGGAGTGAAAAACCCATGCCCCCGGGAGCCAGAGTTGAGCCGGGGTCTCGACCTGTGGACGAATCCTGCCCCGGGCCAAGCTGCCGCCTCTCCAGGAAGTGGATTAACTCCCGGCGCTGGAGCGAGAGTCTATTCTGAAGCGCTCGAGCAGCGTTTTCAGCATAGACGGCGCCTGAGACTCCAGCCCCGCCCCAGCGTTCGAGGCCAGCCTCCCGCGGCTCCCCTGGGGCCTCGAAACCTGCTGCTAAATTAACAGGCGCAACAAAGCTGCCGTAGGAGCGGTGCCAGGCAAGGGGGGGAGCAGTGCCACCCAAAACGGCAGGTCTGACTGACGAGGCTGGGGTGTGGTGGGGAGGCCAAATTCCAGAACCCACCCCAGCCCCGCTTTCCCCACCCCACAAAGTGGGTGGGTAAGAACCACCCTCTTTTGGTTTTAAATTTGCATGTAATCCTTCTATCCCAACCCCCACTCCTCCCCTTTTTACCTACTGTGCCATCAAATCTATCCCCTCTGCCATCTCCACTCCCAGCGTTTAATCGGGCCCCTGGTTAGCAGGCACAGACCCCGCGGCTGCTTAGGAACATTTATAAGTATAACCAAGAAAACAAACCAACCTCAAAATAAACTGCAAATGCTAGGACACTGCTCCTTTAAGATGGAACTGTGGCCACAAGGCAAGGCCTGGATCTAACCAATGGATGCTATTCCCTTGAGGCGTAGCTAAGAATGTGGGCCTATCAAACGCTTGTCCCCACCCACTTTGGAACCCATGTTCCCACCCCCTTAAAGTCACAGCTACTCTGCAATATCATGGAACTTAGAAGTTATTTATGGCTTCAGGATTTACTTTAGAGGCAAATACTCTGTTCTCTTTGCAACTGCACGCTGGGGAAAGCGAGCCCAAGCCAAGATTCGTATGCAACAGAATGGCTCAGACAAATCAGGAGTTACTTCAATGGGGCGTCAAGGTTTTTGGGGCATGAGACAGGGAAGGAAATAGGGACACAGAAACGGGTGTGATGATCTAGAAAAATCAGCCAAGCCAGAATACACCAGAGCTGCAGGGATGTTTAGATCCAAGAGTAAATTGGGCATTTCAGGCGTTTAATTAAACACCATCTCGTTGGCATTAAAATAGCAGGGAGGAGGTGGGATGATGGTGGATTTTAATCTGATCTTTTGGGAGGTGGGTCAGAGCACATCTGCATTTCAAGGGAGTGGAATCGGATTTTTAAATTACCAGGGTGAATGGGGTAAAAGTTGCCCTGTTTCAAATAAATAGATTTTGATCTAATAAATCTGTATTTTTTAAATCCCACAAGGAGGAGAAAATCAAGGTTAAAGACACCCTATTTTTTGGTTCCCTTAAAACTACAATACAATTGGAAACAGGGCTTAAAACAAGCGGAGGAAGGGGCTGATCTGCAGCACTTTTCAAAGGGGTAATTTTAAAAAGATTCTTTAAGGGCAGGCAGGGTTTTAATGGCTTTCCATCTCCCTCGGCACAGCCCAGGCGCCGACGTCTGAGGGCGAAACACCGCAACCCTGCTCTCGCTGGCAGCATTGCTTCAGCGCTGTCTTTTCACGGCAGCCCTGGCTCAGCGCGGACTGTTCGAAGGCAGCACCCACCCCTCGCCTTCCGCCGCACGGCTGAGAGCTAGCGCAGAGTTTCGATGCACGCCTCGCAGGGAGGACGGGACGAATGCCAGAGCAGCTGGGTTCTTAAAAATAGGCTGGGCTCCCAGGAAGCCAGTTCTCAAACCTCCCTGATCGTCAAGCCGTACCCAAGAGATTAAAAGGGAGCTGGAGCGAACTGCTAGCGGAGGGCGGTTGGTTTAAACACGGCCTAGGCTAGGAGCAGGGATCCGTGCTCTGCTCAGCATGGATCTAGACTAGCGACATGGTTTAGCCTCATCTATGCAGGCAAAACCAACCCCTAACACAACAGGCTGGGGAGTGGGGTGGGCCCGCTGTGATCTGTGAGGTTTGAAGAGGGATAGACAGGGTCTAACACTGGCTGTTGGCTGGACAGTGGCAGAAACCGGGGCTGGGGAAGGGACATTAAAGGAGACTGGGTGATGGATGGAAGCGGAGTACCTCAGCCTGTCCACAGGGGCAGGTCATCTCCACAACAAAGCAATCTGTCTGCACACAAGTTTTGGGCTGGGCTGGGAGAGGAGCCCACAGACCCCCTCTACCAGCCCCAAATCCCTTCTCCCCACCCCAGAGCGAGCACCGTGCAGGAGAGGGGCGCAGCTGAACTCACCCACGGCACGGGCGCTGGGGGGAGGGGGGCTGAGACTAGGGGCTGGTTCTGCTGCTCAATCCCCAGCTGTCCAGTCCCATGGGGAGGAGGGAAAAGAGCATTTCCTCGAGCCAGAAGGCCGGGCTGGTTCAATCTGGATGGGGGGCAGGTTGGGGGGGATTTGGGGTCTCTCCCACATACCCCTTAAATAGACAGGAATAGATATAGAGAGAATTTTTTTTATATATAAAATTTTTTTCTTCCTTTTTCCTTGCATCACTCGTCATCGAAGTTCTGACTCAGCAGGAAATTGGCAGCCAGGTTTTCGTTCTTCTCACAAGCAAAGTAAGCCTGGATGACCAGACTCTCCGGGAATCCTAAGGCCTTTAACTGAGGGGACACAAAGGGAGACGCGTCAAAGGACCCTGCCTCTCTGCTGCCCTGTATGTCCCAGCCGCCCTCAGGAACCGAGTCCCTCCGGAGCAGAGTGCCTGAGCCCCCTTGGGACGCTTGAATGCGGGGGTGAAAGAGGGGCTGTAAACCCCTCAGGTTTGGGGGGCTGGAGGAGAATTCTCCCCAGTACAGGCGCTGTGGAGGACGGCCGTGGTGTCTTTGAGGACCCCCTCGTGCAGGGGCAGAGGCACTGCACTGCACCCCAGCAGGGCTGTGACTTCGACAGGGCTGTTATCTTAAAACCAGCTCTCCCCCCGGCCCCCAGCCCACCCCAGGCTGCCAGGTCCGTGCTATCTCCTGGAGGCCTGACCACCTCACCCGCGGTCCCCGCGCCTGGAGCTGTAACCCGCCACAGGGTGGGGGTGAAGTGCTGGCAGAGCAGAGCTGCAGCCGAGTTGTTCTGGAGCACGGAAGAGTGTGCTGGCTGCCAGGAGCTAAGCCACGGGATGTGGACCTGAGCCTGAACCTACAGGAGGGGGAAAGAATCCACGGGAACAAATGGCACTGCTAGATTCTCGCGGGGACGCAGCCAGGGAGACTACGCCAGGTCGGGGAAGGCACTTAAAGAACGGGAGGCTCAGGTGATCTTCAGTGGGATTCTACCCCGGCCCTAGAAGAGGAGACTGAAGGCAAGATAAGACGATGATCAACATGTGGCTCAGGCAGTGGTGCTACCACTGGGAGGCAGTCACGGGCAGAGGACTGTTCTCTGGGGACAGATGCCACCTGAGCAGGGAGGGCAACCGACATCTGGGATGGAGGTTGGCACAATTGATTAGAACAGCTTTAAACTAGGGACTCAGGGCAGGCGTAATCTCCACACCTGACTAACAGTGAGCAGGAGGAAAGTCAAGTACAAGAGGATACGGCAAGGGAGAAAGGACGACAAGGTCCCAACGCCACTGACAGTAACAGTCGGGAAGGGGACACTGCAGTAGAATGACTGTCCCTAATCGGGTGAGGAACGTGGCTGAAGCTGAGCAGACAACGAAGACGTCTCTCCAGCGCCGCGAGGTGCCTGGGGAACAACATGGAGGGACAGGAAGCGAAAGCAGAGACGATCGGGAGAACAGAGCTGGGGAGGGACTGAAGGGAACGTGCCGCGCAGGGAAGAGGTGCAGCATTGGATGTTAATGACGAGGGAGAGTGGAGAGAAATGAGAAGTGACGGAATGGATAAAACGGAACCTATCGGGTCACAACCACTTTGGGGAAGAAAGCTCAGAAAGGCTCTGCTGGGATGGTGCTTGGGGTCTGCTATGGACCCTCAGGATCTGGAGAGACCTCTAATGAACTCAACACGACTGGGAATTGCGATTATGGGAGACTTTAATCTCCCAGACTGATTGGAGGACAAACGGTATCTCATAAATGGTAGGGCCCAGGTGTTCCTTGATGGGACAGCCGACAGATTTCCTCACCAGTCACCGAACCCTCAAGAGCCGATGGTGTTTTAGATTTCGTGTTGGTAAGAAGCGAAGGCCTCATAGAAGAGCTGGTTGGGTCGAGAGCTCATGAGCTAATTCACCGTCAATGGAAGGATAAATAAAGTAGGTCAGGTCTGAATCGAGAGTCCTGGATTTCAAAAGGGCAACTTAAAAAAAGGGAAGGGAAGCAGTTTGGGAAGCGGACTGGCCTGGAGAACTCAAGGATCTGAATGCGGAGGAGGCGTGGGATTATTTTAAGCCAAAGGTGCAGAAATGGCCTGAAGCCAGCGGGGGAATCACAGGGAAGGGCTGCACCTCGAGCATCTCAACCAGGGGACTGAGAGAGCCGAAAACCTACAAGGAACGGAAGGTGGGATGGATCAGCAAAGAACACGACCTCTTGGAGGTCAGGAAGTGTAGGGGAGAACTGCCAAAAGCCAGGCAGAGCTGGAGCTTGCCAAGGAAATTAAACCCACCAGGAAACGGTTCTTTAGCCATAGGAAAAAAAAAGAAAACAAGGAAAGAAGTGGGACGCTCCGCACTGCAGATGGGCAGGAGATTAAAGATAATCTAGGCCTGGCCCAACACCTAAACGAAGGCTGTGTCTCAGTTTTTCATAACGGTGATGAGTTTTTAACTGGGGACAGTGGCAGGGTGGCTGATGGGAATGAGGATACAGAGGTTGAAATGACCACATCCAAGGTGGACACCAAACTCAGTTGAATAGGAGCACGTCGGGGGGCCCAAATAATCTCCATCCAGGAATATTCAAGGAACCGGCACGTGAAATTGCAAGGCCAATAGCAAGGATTTGTAATGAACCGTAAACTCGGGGGTCGTACCCTGCGACTGGGGAATTGCCAACACAATACTTGTATTTAAGGGGGTGGGGGATGACAAAGTGATCCAGGAAACTAAAGGCCCTTCAGTGTGACCTCAATTGCATGCGAAGTCTTAGAACAAATTTTGAGAGTAATTAAGGACAGGGGTAAATGGTAATAGGGAATAAAGACAACATGGATTTACATAAGGTAGATCTTGACAGACCAATCTGATCTCTGTTTCTGAGAAGATCTCTGATTTGCTAGACAAAGGAAGTGCAGCAGGTCTAGCCAACCCGGATTTCAGTAAAGCATTTGATACAGTTCCCACATGGGAAATTAGTTCTACAGGATCAATAGGAGAATCGAAAGGCGGGTAAAGGAACTGGTTAAAGGGAAGACTACATCAGGTCATGCTGAAAGGTGAATGCAGGCTGGAGGGAGGTTACTAGAGGAGTCGGTCAGGGACCAATGTTATCGAACATTTTAACGTGATGCAGCTGTGAAAAAGGCGAATGCTGTCCTAGGATGCATCAGGCGAGGTATTCCCAGTAGAGCCAGGGAAGCGTTAGTGCCATTATACAAGGCACTGGTGAGGCCTCACCTGGAACACTGGGTGCATTTCTGGGCTCCCATGTGTAAGAAAGACCAATTCAGATTAGAAATGGTGACTAGGATGATCCGAGGAATGGAGACCGGGCAGAGACCCTGGGGGTTTTTCCCTCTGCAGTGCGGCGCCTGGGTCACTTGCAGGTTTGAACTAGAGCAAATGGTGGATTCTCTGTAACGTGAAGTCTTTATGTCAAGATTTGAGGCCTTCGGTAACTCAGCCAGCCGCTATGGGCGTGTTCCTGGAGGGGGTGGGTGAGGTTCTGTGGCCTGAGATGTGCAGGTCAGACTAGGTGATCAGGACAGACCCTTCTGGCCTTAAGGTCCATGAGTCTCTGGAGGTCGCCATGAACCTTTCTGGATCTGACCAGGTGGGAAAGACTCGGAAGACTCCCCTGTTCACTCTGAAGACTAATGATGCCTCTTTGACGCACATTTCAGCAGAGGTATCCAGCTCCGCTGGGATACTGTGGGCGGAGCTTGGCAGCGCTGCCCTTCCCCATCAGGGAGGACCACGCCCATTTGGGGGGAGGACCAAATTAGTTATGCTCCATTGCTTGCAAAGTCAGAGCTGTCTACTCCCCACTCGGCGCCTCTGTCCCGTCTCAAACCCCCCCCAGCGTGGTCAGGGCTACAACCTGGCCTTTATGTTAATAACCAAACTCAGTTCTTGTTCAACTCCCAGCTCAAGGGGCTCAGCATCAGACCAGATCAGGCTTTTGGAGCTGTCAGGGACAGACAGAAACAGACTCCAGGAGTCCTGGCCTCCAGCTCGCCCCCTTCCCGCTCCAACCACTAGACCCCAACTCCTGGCACAGAGCTGGGGATAGAACCCAGGAGTCCTGGCTCCCAGCCTCTAGACCCCACTGCACCCTTGTTGGGGCTCTCCAGCGCAGGGATCCCGGGGCACCCCAGCAGGCAGGGTGGCTCCTGGCACAGCCAGCCCCCCCCTTACCCTTTCTATGGCTTCTTTTTCCTGAGGCGTGACCTGGATGTAGTTCATCTGGGGAGCTTCCTCTCCGATGGCCCCGATCTCCCCCTCGATGTCCGAGATGTCGGCCATCTCGCCCAGCGGCTCATTCAGCATCTGGATGAACTGCTCCTGGTGCTGGCTGATTTGCTGGGGAGGGCAGGGGGGGGAGGGGGTCAGGGTTAGGGAGAGACGCCCCTCCCCTCCCAGAGCAGGGCCTCCACAGCCCCTTTTCCCAGCGGGGAAACTGAGGCACAGAGAGAGGCAGGGACTTGTTCAAGGTCACAAAGCAACCCACTGGTAGAGCCAGGGTTAGAACCCAGGAGTCCTGGGTCCCCCCCCCAACCCCCTGCTCTAACCCATCAGACCTCACTCCCCTCCCAGAGCCAGGCACAGAACCCAGGAGTCCTGCCTCCCTCCACTCCAGACACACTCCCCTCCCAGTGCTACTTCCGGCTCCTCCTCCGTGGCCTCTTTCAGCCCCTGCCCCCCTTTACCTGCAGTAGCTGGGGGTTCTCCTGGCCCAGCTGCTGGAGCAGGGCCGGGAGCAGGGCTGGGTTCTGCTGGATCACCTGTCGCATGTTCTGGAACTGGGGCTGGTCTCTCAGGAACTCCAGCGGGTTCTCGCCTGCGGGGCAGGAGTGGGCGGGGTGAAGCCAGGCCATGCCTTGAAGGGGCAGGGCCCACCTGAGCCATGCCCCACACAGGTGGGGCACTGGTGATCACAGGATAAGGGGGGTATCTAGCCAGGGGGAGAGGGCCTGGAACCACCCCCTCCTCCCCGAGGGACCAGTTCGGGTCACCATCTGCCTCCCCCGGCTGCATGCTCTCAGCGGCCTTCCATAGCCCCCGCTCCACAAGCACGAGAGCCTTCTCCCATGCAGCTCCAGCCCCTGGCCCGGCCGCCCCAGGTCTCCCCCTTCCACCACGGTCCCTATGTCTCACATAGGAGCGGGAGGACCGTCACTAACCTTCTGGTGCTGGCTGCTCTGTGGGTTGGCTCTCCTGGATCGGGGCTCTCTCCGGCTCGGAGGTGCCCGGGATGCCCTGTGAAGTCAAAGGGGCATTGTTAGTGCTGTCTAGCGCCCCTCCCCCCACAGCAGCCCCTGCCCCACGGGGCTCACCCCGCAAGGGGCCCGAAAGGAACTCAGTCTCTGGGGTTTGCCCGGCACCCCATGTCCTGCCAACGAGGGGGCGAGCTAGCCTCAGGCAATGCGGGCACCCCTGGGCTGGATCAGAACTGGTGTCCTTACGGGTCCCACTCCCGTAAGCCATCCAGATGTGGATGGAAAAAAAATCATTTGCCCAAAGTCACAGAGCGAGTCAATGGTAATGAAACCCAGGAGTCCTGGCTCCCGGGTCGAACCCCCTAGACCCCGCTCCCCTCCCCGAGCTGGGGATCGAATCCAGGAGTCCTGCCCCCCTCGCTCGACCTGTTCCAAGCCCTGGTGCTCCCTTACCGTCAGCAGGTACTCCACGGCTCGGTGGGGGTTGTTGTAGCTGGCCCGGAGCGCGGCCACTACCCGCTCCCGCTCGTATCCCATGGACATGATCTCGGTCAGCATCGTCTCGTACTCCGAGCCGGTCACTGCGGGCGGAAGGGGACAACAGCCCGGGCTGAGGGAGAGCCAGCAGTCTTGGGGTGCCCAGCGCACGCTCGCCAAGGGAAAGGGGGGCAGGAGCGGGTGCTGGCTACGAACACAGCCCTTCCCCCTCCGCCAACATCTCCCAGCACGGGATCGGCCCCCCCATCCCCGCAGGGGAAGTGACTCAAACTCACCCTGAGTCAGGGGCAGAGCTGGGACTAGAACCTAGGAGTCCTGGCTCCCTGCTCCACACCCCACCCTGTCCATGACTAGCGCTCCTGGCCACTACCGTAATACAGCTAAACAACACCCACGCACCCCTCATGTCCACCTTAGCCTGAGATAGAATCCAGCCCACAAGTGCTGGGAAAAGAAGGCCCAGGAGACCTGGCTCCCAGCCCTGTCTCCCCAGCTCTAACCACTAGACCCCACTCCTCTTGCAGAGCTGCAAAGGGAACCCAGGAGTACTGGCTCCCAGCGCGGTCCCCTCGGCTCTAACCACTAGACCCCACTCCCCATGCAGAGCTCGGAAGAGAACCCAGGAGTCCTGGCGACCAGCCCCCCCCCCCGGCTTTTTTCCCCTAACGTGGCCCCTCTGCTAACGAATGACTGGATACGGTCGCCTTTTATCCTTGGAACAGACAGCCCAGGCTGCCCCAGAGCAGCGGAGACCCAACCAACTCATCACACAGGGCACAGAACAACCCGGGGCTTGGAACCCGCCCTGCACTGAAACCTGAGATCACGATGAGCGAGGCAGCTCCCCCCTCCCCAGCCGAGCCATCACCCCCCCCTCCCCCCCGCAGACGGAGGGGCAACGCTGGGAAGGGGGGGTCCTGCTCCCGGCCCCCGTACACCCGCAACAGGAAGAGGGGGTTGTTTTATCCAGCGACGGCCACCAGAGGGCGCCCCCACCCCACGAGCTCATGCTGCAGGAGCCATGGAGCAGCCGGCCCGGGGTGCTGGCAGGCGCTCTCTGCTGCCGCCCAGGGACCCCGGCCGCCTGCCCCAGCGAGGGGATTTCACCTACCCAGGGTGGAAGCCGCGTCGTCTGGGCGCCCCACGCTACCTGAAGAGGGAACAGAGCTGCAAATTTAAAAGAGAGGAATAGTAGCTGGCTCCTTCCAAACAGCCGGGCAACAAGCAAACCGCCAGGGGCCAACACTGCGCCGGGGCGGCCGGGCTGGGCCGGGCCGGGCTCCCTGCGCCGGGAGGAACCACCCCACTGCCACGTTAACTTTCTTGGGGCTATGCCTGGCGTGACCCAAGCCCACAAGTTTGCACCTGCCGATCTCTGAGAGCAGGGTTGTCTTCTCGCCAACGCTATTTCTAACACACGCTCGTCTTTTCTGCCCAGGAGACATGCGGGGTCTTCGCCACATCTCAAGGGGCACCAGGTCACTAACTGAAACTAAACAGCTTTTCGATCTGCCCTGAAATCAAACCAGCCCCGCTGCTCGTGGGGACTGTGACGAAGTGAGGGGTTTTCTTGTTTTCTGTGGGGTTTCAATGGTTTGCATGCAGAGGGGGTGGGACTCGGTTTCCCTGGGTGTTACTGGTTTAACGAGGTGAGGGGAGAGGGAGTGTGTTTTGCAGAGGACCGGAGAGAGGACGTGGGGACCCAGCCGGTGGCTGGGAGGATGGATACCCCAGTGACCGGTGACCTGGCGACCTGGTGACCCAGAGGCCCAGCTGAGGAGACGCAGCGGGTTCTGGCCAGTGGGAGGACAATGGGCTGCAGAGTGAGGACCCAGAGACCTAACCAGCCGGTTCCAGCCAGAGGGAGAAGCAGGAGGGGAGGCCCCAGTTTACGACCCTGTTTACCTGGAGAGAAGACAATGGACAGAGGCGGGGCCTGGGGCCGGTGATCTCAGATGCCCAGCTGGGAGCAGGGGGGCTCTGGGCTGGAGAGGGGGAGCAGGCAGAGCCCACCTGGATGCAGAGAGACTGGGATGTGCTGGGCTGAGGGAGGCCAGGCCTGAGGGTCAGAGAGTTTCCTGTGCTGTGTTCAACTCTCAATAAACCCTTCTGTTTCATGCTGGCTGAGAGTCACTCCGGTCTAGAGAACAGGGTTGCATCAACCCCTTCGGGGGTGGAGGCCCCGGGGGTCCAGAGCGAGTGGACTCCCTGAGGGGGCCCACGGCAGAGACAGACGTGCTAAGGCTCAGAGAGGTGCGGATCCAGGAGGTGGAAGGGCCAGACCCCGAGAGAGAGTGGACCCCCGAGAAGGGCTGTCTCACTAAAAGGGGCACCCCCCATGGACCGCACGGGGCCTGACCCCGAGAGAGTGGACCCCCGAGAAGGGCTGTCTCACTAAAAGGGGCACCCCCCCACGGACCGCACGGGGCCAAGAGTGGGCACGATCTGTGAGTCCGTGACAGGGACGAGCTCTCGGCCAGCAGCCTGGCTCATTCTGTGCTTCACAGGCAAGCTTGGTGCCCCCCCCCGGCCCCTTTCTGTCCCCACACCCCAGGGGATGCAGCGTGTGTACAGAGCCGGCCATTCATCCGCTGCAGTCTGCGTGTGGGATCATTGCAGTGTAACCACCTCTGGGGTGAGAGGTGGCAGCTGCTTAGGAGCCACATGGCAACGTTACCCTTAAAAAAAACACCACAGGGAGGCAGGCACGACTGCACTGATGGGGAAACTGAGGCACGGAGCTGCAAAGTGACTGAGCCAGTCAAAGTGAATCTGTGGAAAGGCTGGGACTAGGACTCAGGAGTCCTGACTCCCAGCCCCCTTGCTCTAACCACTATACCCCACTCCTCCAAGTTAAAGATGTTCCAAGTTCCCAAAAAGGAAGGTTATGCCCACACCCTGAAGTGGAAGGCACCCCCCTCCCCCCATTCTCTGGGGCATGACATCGGGGTACCTGAAGTGACTGAGCTATGAACATAGACAGGCAGGCGCGGGGAGGGGGCACGCGCTCTCTGTGCTTACCCAGCAGTGGATTCGGGCAGCGTGACGGCAGCCGGCTCCTCCGGAGGCTTCTCCTCGCTTGGCGCCGCGGGTGCTGGGGGCAGGACAGCATCAGCACCGGCTGCAGGCGCCGGCGTCTGCCCCACCGATGGGGTTGGCTCTGGGGCACTGGCCGGCCCAGCATCACCAGATGAGGGGGCCGGGACGCCTGAGTTGGATTTGGTCTGAGGAAACAAGCAGCGCTGAAGGGTGCAGCTGGGGTCTCTGCCCCCCGCTCCCCAACCACATGCGAGATCAGCTCCCAACCCCTGGGGAAGCAGCTGCGGTGAAGGGGGGCAGGAAGGAACTGCCCTTTGGCCCTGGCTGACTGCATGTGTTATACAATCAGCACTAACTGTGAGAGGAGAGCGCCCCCTAGTGCCACTCTGGGGTCAGCACCGACAGCGAGGGGAGAGCGCCTCCTACGGAGCGGGTGTGAAAAGCTGCCTTCTTTCCGCAGCATCCTACCCCTGTCCCGGCAGCCTCGCCGTGAGCGGGAGCAGGCCCGGCCGTACCTTGGTCACCATGACCACCACGAAGTTCTTCTCGTCGATCTTGTACTCCTTGATGGCGACGTCGTCGCTCAGGATCTTGCCGGCGTAGATCAGCTTCTGGCCCGACACGGGGAAGGCCTCCTTGCCTTTCTCGGCCTCAATCTTCTCCTTGAGGACCCGCACCTGCCGGGCGGGACGAGACAGCCCTGAGTATGCAGATCCCTGCATGGCTGGGAGGGGGACCCCTCTCCTTCCCCACCCCGCTCCCGCCCCCTGCCGGGCTCCAGGGCTGATATTAGGCGGGAGGATTAAGGAGGTATCGGGTCAGGTTGGTTTGTTCCCGCCCTGGTTCTCTACACCCTAGTCTGGTCTTGCGGGAAAGGCCCTGACCTGGGACTCAGGAAATCTGGATCTGCCACCGACTCCCTGGGTGTCCCTGGGCAACTCTCTGGCTCTGAGCTGCCAACCTGTTGCCCAGATGCTGCACCTGAGTCCCACCCTGCATCTGGGCTCGCTGTGATGGTGACAGCCTCTCACTGCTTGTGGGCAGCGCCCGGCCTGATGGGGCTTGATCTTGGCTGAAGCCTCTAGATAACCTCACAGCTGCGTAGACTGGAAGCTCTTTGGGGCTGGGACCGTCTCTGTTGGGTGTTTGTACAGCGCCTAGCACAGTGCGATCCTGGGCTACGATCAGGGCTCCTGGCCACCACTGTAATCTAACTAAGTAATATACACGAAAGACACCGGATGCGCTCCCTGGGGCAGGTCATGGGATGTCTCGGTCTCACGTCTGCCCGTTACCCCCGGCCAAGCTGCAGCTGCGACTCGCCCCCGGCTGCCAGGATCGCCCAGAGCGCCAGTTACAGCTGAATGGTGCCAACAGAGACCAGGGAGGGGCACGTGCGGACACGGGCCCCCCCGGCACCCCTCTACCCAGCGCGAGGCGTTTCTGGGGCACATGCTGTGCTCGTGATGGAGGCAGCTTCCCCACAGGGCAGGGCAGGGCCAGGCCGGATTACACAGGCCAGCAGCAGCTCTCAGAAGGGGAGGCTGAGGCCCTGGGTTAAAGGAGGGGCTGGGGAACCGGGACAACTGCCACTGCTGGAGGCTCCTTCCTGGGGGCAGCTAAGGGCTCGGGGGGATCCCCGCGGGACACTTGGGGACTGAGGACGTCTCGTCACTAGGATCTGAGCTGTATTTCTACACACTGGAACTAGGATTCACCCTGGCCAGCCAACACCACACTGTGGCCAGCACTGACCGGGAGGGCCCTACGGCACCCCCAGAACTACTCCCTGCAGCACAGCGCCCCCTACTGCTGCACCGGGGCAGCACGGCCCGCAAAGTTCCCCCTGCTGAGCCCCTCCCCCCTTGCTCCCTGCAGCACAACGCCCCCTACTGCTGCACCAGGGCAGCGCTGCCCGCAAAGTGCCCCCTGCTGAGCCCCTCCCACCTTGCTCCCTGCAGCACAGCGCCCCCTAGTGCCACAACACGGACAGCACAGACACCTCATCTACACCAAGATTTTCACACATGTTGAACACACCCATTTCCCCCAGCGTAAACAGGGCCTGGCTGTCCCCTGGGAATCACAGTCAGCCACTGGGAAAGTCCCACTGGTCCTGGAAGCGTCTGCATTGGTCTCTGGGTGACTAAACCACTCACGCCTTCTCTGCCTCGGTTTCCCCATTGGTAAGACAGGGAACTATTCCCTGGTCCTTGCAGGCAGGGGGCAGAGTCATGAGGCTCAACCCATTCCGGTTTGCAAGGCCCTCTGGGAGAATTACTGAGCAACTGCTTCTGCAAGCATGTATCCCATCCCCCCACCGCTCCGGGACGCCCCACACGGGCAAGCCGTGGAGCCTTCGCACCAAACGCTCTCCTGCACCCCGGAGGACAATGGTGTCCCAGCGGGGACCCGTTGGAACAGCTGCAGAGCCCTGTGAGACAAGTGAGTAGGAGCCAAGAGATATTTTCGGCTGCTGGGTTGAGCCAAAACGAAGCCTGACGCCCTGTGAAAAGCATGTGGGACTCCAGCTATTTAAAAAAGGAACCATTGCCTCACCCGTCTCCTCCCATGGGCACGACCGTCTGGATCAGCGAGGCGACAAAACCGTATCACCCACTACCCAAGTGCGGCTGCCTCTGCGGTGGAGCACGGCAGCTGTTTATACCGAGGTCCCTCGCCCGGTGCGGAGACGCAGCCACCTCCCGGGTGGCCTGTTTATACAGACACGGAAGTGAATCCAGCGTCCCAGTACTGAGGGAGAGGAGAGCGCGCAGAGCAGGAGTTGCCACTTACAAAGCCAGCAAGGGAATTGTAACGGCCAAGCCCAGAGCCGGGAAATTCGAGGGTGCCGCTGCCAGAGCCGTGCCGGCACGAGGCCCAGCGTAGCTGCAGCGATCGGTAGAGCTAACTCGCCGGGGAGGCAGCAGAGAAGGTCTGCGCTGCATCTACAAGGGGCTCAGGGGCGCAGACACAGCCCTAGCTGGGAAGGGATCGGGAGTTACAATCAGACAGGGAGCCTATAAGTCAGTTAAAAACCCAGCCTCTGACCTTCGCCTCCTGAGAGCATTAAGGCCGGCCTAGTGCACGTCACCCAATCCCCTTTTGCCTTTCAGCTTGCCCCGTGAGGACAGGCGCAGCAGTTTCACCTTGGTGTTTAATCAGTTTCACTCAGCTTCACGGGCCCGGCTCCGCAGCCAGCGCTTTCCTTGGCGGCGGCTTGGGCCTGCTTATTGCCAGGGGCTAGTTTGCAATAAAGACACCAACAATCCTAAGCATGTGATTCATAATCTGGGGAAGGCCCAACAGAGACTGGGGCCGCACAGTGCCGGGCGCTGCACAGACACGGAGTGAGAGCTCACAGGCTGAACAGACAAGACGTGGGAAGCCCCTCCCATTACACAGGAGGGGAAACCGAGGCAGGGAACAATGAAGGGACGTGCTCAAGATCAGACAGGCAGTCTGTGGCAGAGTTGGGAACTAACCCCAGATCTTCAGTCCCACCACAGGGACTTTACTGGCTATAAACGGGAGGGGAGCTGTCCAGCAAACAGTTTCTGTCTTAAAACGTGATCTGTGCTGTGAAAAACATTTGAAATCCCTTTGCCCTCCTGGGAAGTTTCTCAGCTGCAAAAGTGACAGGGGATATTTCAAATGGTACTAAAAAAAAAAATGATAGTAAGATTTGGATTGCTAGTGTTTATTTTTATATGCATCATACCCGCACCCTAAATTCTGGACCCCCACCCCCCCAATAAAGGGCCCCTTAAAATCAGTGACACCTAAAGCACAAAGAAAACAGGTCTGAGTGCAGGACTCCGCTCCCCGCTAAAGCCTCAGTCTGAACTCAGCGTTCTGTTTGGAGGGAGAAGATCCGATTGACAGCACACTCTACGCACTAACCGCTTGGAATGGGACCCAGGAGTCCTGTCTCCCAGCCACCAGCTCTCAGAATAATCCCTAGCTCTCATAAGGCGCTTTTCATCTATTGGTCGCCAAGGGCTTTACAAAGGAGGTCAGTAGGATTCTCCCCATGTTACAGACGGGAAAATTGAGGCTCGGAAGGAGAAATTACTTGTGCCAAGTCACCCTCCAAACCAGTGGCAGAGCTGGGAACTGAACCCAGGTGTCCTGAGTCCCAGTCCAACGCTCTAACCACTAGGCTGTATTAGCCCCACAAAATAGTGGGTTTGGTTCCTCCAGGGGACTCCAGTCAGCTTTGACGTGAGTCACATGAACATGGATCATGAAGGTGTTAAGGTCTCACCTCTAACATCTCAAGGGTGTCTATGACTGAGAGGAGGGTCAAGGAGAGAGAGAGACGCAGGGGGTTTGCACCCCAGTGGGGGAAGCAGGCAGAGAGGCCGATGGGAACAGGAGCAGCACAGACCCCACTGTGAAATCTCCTCCCCCCGCCCCTCCACTCCATCAGAACCGGGAAGTGTGGGGGAGACACACCAGCTGGGATCAGCTTGTCTTCCTGCTCCCCCCCTCCCCCAATTGCTCTGGGCCAGGCAGGCGATGCCCAACAGTGACCGCCCAGGCCCAGCTTTGCCTGCCCTGGAACATTTCTCAATGGGAGCTAATAGGGACTTGCTGAAAGAGTCCCAGATGTACCACCTGCTACTACCCCAGTACAGGGGCACACAGGCAACTTGGCTCCCCCACCCCTCTCCTTTCTGAGGCTCCCACCCCCACCCACATGGAGCCATCCACCCCTCCTCCCATGCCCCATCCCCTGCCCTTCTGGCACTCTCACCCCATATCTCATCCCCCCCCCCCACACGCTCCTGCCCATACCCCTCAAAGCTGATACTCTTACTGTGTGCATCTCATTCCCGGGAAGGGAAGAGTGCCCCACGCAGACTAGGGCCCATCCCATGAGTGGGCGGGGGGGGGGGGGG